TGTGTGTGTGTGTGTGTGTGTGTGTGTGTTCCCTGCAGGTAAATTTCTGCTCTTGAATTAAAACGTTTCTGATGGAAAACTTTAGGATTCTGAAACTCGTGTCAATGTGAAACTTTTTCACTCGGCTCTTTATTTTTATTACTTTCATATAAAAAAGAAGTGAAACTGTCAAATGTTAAAAATTGAATCTTAAATATCACAAAACGTTTTGATTAGTCGATCTGGAAAAGTTGAAAGGATAAAAGATCAAATAGAAACAGCTTCAGCAAAGTCACATGACTTAAATGTCAGTCGAGCTTCCTTTGTCTGGACCAGTGACGACAGATAAAGAATTGAACGCCCCCTGGTGGCTGGATGCAGTTCATTTTTCTTCCGCGTGATTTCAGTCTATAATAATATTTCAATCTTTAATGGCTCCATGCACGCTAACGTACGTTCTGTGTTCCCAGGTTACCTAACATTAGCACCAAGAGTTTATTTTGGCGAGGGACGTATTTAATGTATTTAATGTATTTTCATGTATTTTCATGTATTTTCATGTATCAAGGCTTCCAGAGGATGTTTTTGTGTTTTGTGAGAGAAAAGTGTGAAAAACCAGAAAAATGAGGAATCGGTGAAAAAGAGAGGTAGAGGCGGAGGAGAGAAAAACCCTGAATGGATGCTTGAACAGAAGCTGTTCTCAGCCAATCGGAGCATCCGCCTCCCCTCCTCCTTGCATCCGAGCTCTGTGATTGGCCGGCAGGAGCAGGGATGCAGAGAGAGAGGGAGCGAGTGACTGGAGGATGAAGAGAAAAGAAGAAGAAGAAGAAACTGTCAGATGAGAGCAGCTCTGTTCTTCAGCTCTCTCTCTCTCTGTTTTTCAGTGGAGTCTCTGCCTCGCTCGCCCCTCTCAGAGCCTGCTGCTCTTCGCTCGCCCGTGTCTCTTTGTGATTCCTGAGGAGAGAGAGAGGTTTGATGGAGCCGCTGCCCACAGACTGCTGCTGTTTACGCTGCGGCATCATGGGAGCTGTAGTTTCCCAGGCAGTGCAGGAGGACAGCTGATTGGCCGAGAGACTGCGGGTCATCAGAGTTTGGGGATGTGAGCTGGTGGGCAGACGAAGCTCAGCAAACTCTCTCTCTCTTCTCTTTATCTTCCCATTCTCTTGCTCTCTATTTGACCCTTGTTCTCCCCCACTCCTCCCTCTTTCTCTCTCTCTGTAGTTTTTCATCTGAGCTCTCCGTCTTTCTCTCTCTCTCTCTCTCAGTCTCACCATTCTTCTGTTTTTGCCCTTCGTCCCTGCGTTCATCTCTCTCCTCTCTCCTCCTAACTTCTACCATCCGAGGAGAAGTCAGGATGGGTTGTCGCTTCACTCGGATCAAGGTGAGTGACCGTCTGCAGGAGAGAACGAGGGAGAATAGAGGGCAGATAATGAGATGTGATGGATGCTGAGATGACCTGCATCACACACACACACACACACACACACACACACACACACACACACACACACACACACACACACACACACACACTCAGCCTTCTCCCTCGGTCATTGTCTGAGTTCACTGGTACAATCTGGGTTAAGTGTGTGTGTGTG